CATAAACATAATTTAGAAATGTACTAAGTCCTGTAAAATTCAGTAAAAAGGCCTATTTATTTCCATTTAAGAAACACCACACATAGGTAACAAACTAACTCTTTTTCTAAAATGTACCCTTTTCATTTAGCTTTTAGGGGGTACCCAAAATGAAACCGTCTTAAAAATGATGGTGTGGTCATTTGTTCCCTCTCCCTGTTTCTTACATTAGGAATTTACCCCTAAAGTTTGGCTAAGGATTCCACAATTTGGGGGCTATGGCACCAGGGTTAATCCAATGTTGAATTCAGGCAAGTTTAATAAGCTATGAAGAAAAAAACATACGTAAAGTAAATACTTTAAAATGTAGAAACCTGAAGACATCACTGTAACAGTCATTTAGGTAAGAAAATTAATACATCTCTCATTAGCCATATTCTGTGAGCTACAGTGACCCTGCAGTCACATTCTTGTTTTTCAGCTGGGCACTGGACTAGATTCTTTTTCATGAAAGCTTCTAATCCAGCATAAAATAGCCACTATCTTCTCTGCAAGATGTGCCATAACAGTTTCAATTTAGCATTGTTTCGCTACTACCGCAGATGGTATGTTACTTTTTAGATTGTTTTATTGAAGTGTTCAAAATAAGATCTCCAGTGAAAAGATATTTTACGACTGGCTAGCACTAAAGGGAAGAAAGAAGTACGGTTAACACTTATTTAATAATGTGTTGCATAAATCTTCTTTAATCTATATTAGTGAGCAAGACATAGTAAACATTTAAAAATGCAGCCAGGACAGCACACTGAAAAAATAGGTCAGTAAAGTTGGCTGGGTATTTCAGTACTCATTGGCCATTCAAATAACAAACACTTGAGCATGGTTGGTGCTGAGCACATAAAACTCCCATTGTCTTCAATGAGATCTGAAGATGCTGAGCACCTTACAGGATCAAGCCCTAATATAATAACCTAAATAATTTCCATGCCATTTAGTGTACAAAACCCAAGCCTGACAGGGATCAAACTGATGTGATAGTTGGCATTTTGACAATACATAATCACCAAATGCATGTCAGTGGGTTATTCATAGTGAAATAGGAAACATTTTGTATTTCAAATAGCCCTGCAAATTCTATGGTTTAAACTAATGAATAAGCTAATTGTAACTTCAAAACACCTATCCAGACTAGCCAGTGTATATCTGTAAACCCTGAGAAGTACAACTGTGAATGAACTCAAAGTTAGCTCTCCAGAACTGCACTTCCAATGGCCGCCAGGCTGCCAATCAGTTACTTGCACTGAAATAAAAGAACAAGCTTCTTGCTGTAAACAGCCCTCCAATTTCTAATGGTTATCCCCTGGATTTAATACAGAATATCACATTCAGACTGGACTGTAACGCTTTCTGCAACTTTACTGGCATCCTTTTAACATAAACTGATCCAGAATGCTGCAATGAGATTATTTCTGACACATGCTGAAATGTCACATTTGGATATCAAATTGGATACTGGATTTGGATACTATTAAGACATGTGTCGTAAGATTGAACTGAGAACCTCCCCTGTCAAATGAAATTTTTAAACGATTCTCAGAGTCTTTGCACTAGTCAAGAAAGTGATTTGATTTATTCAAACAAAACCATTTTGAGGCTTTGGAAAAGTGAAATACCTCTTTGCTATTCCAAAAAGATTCAGGAAATTACCCAGTTTTCCTTCTCAAATGAGCATATTTTGCCTTTAACAATCTTCTTATCCCGGGTCCACTTACACTATTCAATAGCACATGGATAGCAGCTCCATTGCATCAGTCTCTCTCTTATGAGAAGTGTTTATTCAGGCTCCATATTGAGCTGCATGTTCTTTGGTATTATATCTATGCAACAATTACAGTGAGACTGAGTCATCTCATTTGGGCTAGATATTTTCACCTCTTAGCTATTATTCCTTTTATGTTTCTTTTGTGAGCATCTATTAATTATATTGATACCCGTGGCCTGTTTCACTCCACACCGCAGAAAAAACAGTGCAAGGGGATTCTCTGAGGACCTCTTTACCTCTTCCCTGTTCTGTTACTAGTGATATCTGCTCCTACACCCTGTGCAATAGGCTACAGAACCTGGCTCAAAAGCTGATGGCTTCCCATTTGCAAGACCCTGTGCCTCTGTACTGGCTCTGGCCCTCAATAACTCTTGGTTGCTGTTCCCATAGGACCTTGATGTGTGAGTTCTATGGGTAAGAAAATGCAATCTAGAGTTTAGCAGTGTAATATAGGTAGACAGAATATAATTACTTACGTTGACATTTAACCAGGCTGCTGGGACTCCTAATGTGTGTAGATGTTTTCAGGATCGGGCTTTTAAATGTCTTATTGGGGTATTACATTATGTTATTGTTTAAAAGATTTATTCATTAGTAGACCCAGCAAGATTAGTTGCAGGTTGCTAGGCAACACGAGTGCCATTACCTGAGTTATTTATCTTGAATCTTATCCTAGTAGTTCTGTACATTTGGATATGACCGTCAACTGTGGAAAAAACCCTCCCTTGTTCACTTTCCCTCCAACAATTCTGTTATAAAATTTAGTTCTAATTTTACAGACATAAGGTACAATTTCATTTTAATAACAGTACACTTTTTCTCATGTAATGCTAATGGAGATTATGAAATAAAAGAATATCATTTAACAAGTGGACAAACTCCATTTATGTGAGAAAAATGCAATGTTGGCCTGACTTCTCACCAGAAGTCGAGTTCATTTCATAATCCTATTCTTAAATGTTTTCATCAATCCATAATTTTGTCAGTTTCTGTGCAGCACTTGTAGCTAAGGTAAATCTCCTTTTAACCTTATCCTTAATAGAACCTGTCAGCAATAATCAGGCTTACTAGGAACACATAAGATTCTATTTGTTTTATGACTTCACCACTACTGCATTTTAACACTTTGTCTATTGTCTCTTTTCCAAGATGCAAGCACTTCATCTTCTTGGCATTTATTCTAAGTCCAAGTCAACTACACCAATTTTCTAGGGTAGCAAAAAATATCATCATTAATTCAAATATATTCGCCAGTTGAAAGATGTCATCTGCATAAGATAAGGAATTTAATTCTAGAAAAAACTTAACATTTGATACCAAAGTAAAAATGTATCAAACCAATGTTCTAACAGATTACTCCATGGTCTGGAAGTAGCTGCATTAAATGAAACAGATATCAAAAGGCTGGAGGCGGTAGAGATGAGAGTTCTTCAAAAGATGGCAGGTGTAAAGTGGAATGACTTTAAGACAAGGGAAGAAGTTAGAAGGAGAGTAGGATGTGAAATCAGTATGGGATTGGCTACAATCAAAAAGATTATGATGGTGGGGACACTGCAGAAGACAAATAGATGTTAGGATGCCAAAGAAAATAATGCAAACATAGCCAATGTCAGTCTGAGCCAGAGGGTGACCATCGTCTAAATGGCAGGACATCCTATCCAGCGAGGGACATGACCAGGTTGGGCTTAATGGAGGAACAGGTCATGGACAGCATATGAACTTCTACCATTTAAACTGTTTAGTGAAATCATTTGTGCAAAGTCCTGTGTGGACATTCTTTTTTCAATTTAAGAGTGGCTTATTTTGGTTTAGCATAGCCTGTAAATTTACTAATGCAAGCTAAACTAATATAAGCCTGGTTTAAACTAGGCTTGTCTAAACACAGTTTTTACCCTGATGTTACTATACAAACTATACAGTGTATGTAACTTTAGAAACCGTTATAGTTAAAGTGAACTGATATAGTTACACTAGTGCAGGGGTCCTCAAAATGGGGGTTGGGACCCCCCCAGGGGGTCACGAGGTTACTACATGGGGGGGTCACGAGCTGTCAGCCTCCACCCCAAACCCCGCTTTGCCTCCAGCATTTATAATGGTGTTAAATATATAAAAAAGTGTTGTTAATGTATATGGGGGGGGGTTGCACTCAGAGGCTTGCTGTGTGAAAGGGGTCACCAGTACAAAAGTCTGAGAACCCCTGAACTAGTGCAACTCCCTAGTGCAGATGCATTTAATCTGATATAGAAGTATTTATACTGGTAGGCTTGTTTTGATCCACACTAGGGGGTTGCACTGATTTAACGGTATCGGTTTCTAAATGGATGCAAAAACTGTGTGTAGACGAGGCCTTTTGCACCGGTTTAAGTACCTCAACTTAACATCACATTTTAAAGGGGTGCAACTCGGATAAGCCCTGAAGAGGGCGAGGAGCACGCACGTCTGTACTGGGGTTTTCCTCTGATTTCAGCCAGCCTCTGGTGTCGCTGGCTGCGCCTGTACAATGCAAACCCTTAGGCGACTGTGTGCAAGGGTATGTCTACACTACAGGATTAATCCGAATTTAGATAATTCGAATTTGGGAAACAGGTTGTATAAATTCGATTGTGCGCGGCCACACTAAGCACCTTAATTCGGTTTTTAACCACATTAATTCGGTGGTGTGCGGCCACACTACCCCATTAACTTAAACACAGTAATTCGGTGGTGTGCGTCCACACTAACCCTAATTCGAATTAACAAAATCGATTTAGGCTCTACTCCGTTCGTCGAGGTGGAGTACAGAAATCGATTTAAAGGGCCCTTTAATTCGAATTAACTGGCTCTGTAGTGTGGACGGGTGAAGGGTTAATTCGGATTAACGCTGCTAAATCCGAATTAATCCCGTAGTGTAGACCAGGCCCAAGTGTGAAGCTTGTACCCCAGTGGGGAGAAAGCTCTGCCCGCAGATGGCACCTTTCCGGCCCACGCTCGGGCTGCCACCTGCGCAGCTACCTGAACGGGGGACGCGCTCCCCGGGGGCAGGTGTGCGCGCCAGGCGGGGGTGCCACTTGCCCCGGGGCTGGGAGCCGAGCAGCGGCCCTTGCAGGAGGTGAGACGAGCCGGGGTCCGCCCCGCGCTGGGCTGGAAGCAGGGAGGAGGGGCCGTGCCGCTGCACCGCATCGCCGCCGCGGGAGCCCCAGGCACGGCGCCGCAGCTGGACGCCTGGCAGGCGGGTTGCTCTGAGCGTGGCCCTGCACTTCCTGCACCGCTCCAGGCGGGACCCAGCGCGCGGAGCCCCCTCCCGGCTCGGCATGGCGTGCTGCTGGGGCGAGTACCAGGTAAGACCCCGCTGTCCGGGCGGGAAGGTCGCCCGCCCGTGGCCGGCAGCAGCTGCAGCTCCCTCCCCCCCAACTTCTCCGTGGGACGCACCAAGGGCCTGGGCTGCACTGACCAGCCGCAAGCCCCGCGGAGGAGCGATAGGCTGGTGGCCCCCGCCCGCAGTGAGGAGTTGCTGCCTTTCCCGCCCGGCAGGTAAAGTCCCCCCCTCCTGCAAGAGCGTCTGTGGCAGAGGCAGGGAGGAGGCTGCGAGCCAGGGGCACCCCCGTCGCGTCCCCTGAGGGGGAGAGTACGGGAGTCCCCTGCCCAACACACTGTCCCGTCTCCACCGGCTCTGCAGCGGCCCTCGCTCCCCAGGCAGGGAAGGCATTTTCCCCATTCCCCTCCTCGCCCCCTTTTTTTCTGTGCGGGTTCTAGCTCTTGCTAACGGAGATCCCATTTACCTGGAGCCTCGGGGTCTTTGGGTGGCTTCCCCCCGCCCCGTCCCCCCGGAACTCACAACTTCTGCTAGTAGTTAGAGATGGGAAAGACCCGTCTACAGCCATGCCAGTCCAGAGTAACTCCATTGACGCTGGAGTGACTGAGATCAAAAGCTGGCCCTAAATTGAGTCCAACCCGTGGCTGGCACAGACTACAGCCCCCCTGATAGAGCTGTGAGTCCAAAAGGCTAAGAAGCAGCAAACTCATCCACTACATCGGGGGAAAAGTACTTAGAAAAAAGGAGAGAAGGTACTGGCTTAAAGTTGTTTGACAATTCTTCTTTGCCCAGTATAGTCACATGGAAGCGCCTCTCAGGGTACTCCATGGGCCAGGTCTTGTGCAGGAGTACGTAGTAGTCTCCGGATGTTGGTGTCAGTGGATCACCATCATTTGTCTGGATGTGTCCCATTTTCCCTGCCCTCTAAAGTACTCTCCATTATTTGGAGGACAGTTAGGTTATTTAATATAGTAATATTGTGCAGTACATGTAAAATACATTCACTATTGTTAAGACTACACAAATTACCAAATGTTTGACATTTTGTGCACACTAAGTTACTCTTTCACTGCTTTTCAGATGTTTGAAACTGAGTACTATAACTTTAATTGCACTTAAAAATTATTTTTAATTTTAGGTTTCTGTAGATGGGATTTCTGGACAAAGAGAATGGAGACCTCTAATTTATAGAAAATGCACAGATGTACTCTGGTTGATTTTATTCTTTCTTTTTTGGGCTGGTTTGGTAAGCATGCAATCTGTTGAAAGAGAAATCTTACTTAGAACTACTGTAAGCTTAAAGTGATTCTGAATAATTCAGGTGATCTCACTGCAGAAATTATAGAGCCTTGATCGTGTGTCCAGATAGGAGAACCTTTGTGCCTGCGCAAAGCCACAATGAAATCAGTTTAGCTCCACACACCTGGTCGAAGGGTCTGCTTGCAAGGATCCAATGGAAAGCTCAGCTTCTTGTACTTAGAACAAGCTCTTTGGGGCAGAGTCTGTCTTTTTGTTATTTTTATGTACAGTGTCTAGGACAGTGTGGCCACTAGGCATTACCACAATGCAAATTAATAATCATAGTCTGTTCAATTTTCTAACCTCTTTTAAAAAAATTACAATTAATGCAAAAGAACTCTGCATAAGTCTCTGGCACACTTTATAAACTAAACTGACTTGAGAAGCAGGATGAGTTTTGTATGCCACCTTGTGTTTAATGCACATGTAGATATAAGACATGTCAAACCATGGTGGTATCCAGCAATTTTATTATTTCATTATTCTTATTGCTTACTCTCTGTGATATATTTTATTATTCACATTTGAATTATGATTTCCTTTAGTTTAAAACAGATTTGTGGTGACATCCAGTGTTATTTATTCACACTGGCTTTGTTTCAGGTTGTTTCACAATCTGGAAGTGCACATTATTGGCGCATACATGTTGGCACACCCTCTTGTAATTATTGAATGTTTGCAGCCAGCCATTTATTAGCAGTAATCGTAGATCAGATTCAGTGTGCTGAGCTTTTGTCTTAGTTTGCAATCTCTGTGGAAGCAGTATGGGCCAGCTTAGCAAATAAAGTTCTGTTGGACTTGTAACTTCCATCTGTCAGAATTTTTCATATTTAGAAGTAGGGTCACAAAAGACTACTGCATCTCTTCTGGCTACTTTTTGAGGTAGCTGTCTGATTGCTGGAAGTATATTTACTGTATAAATGAACTGGATCTAAAAATATTTTGTTGTTGTGACGGAGCTGAGATGCACATATACATAGCAACCTTAACTATGAAGTCACTACAATGCCATATTAAGATAAATTAATATATAAAAATTCAGGCATCACAATAGTCAAGTGATATAAATCAGAGGTTCTCAACCATTTTCTTTCTGAAGCCCTGTTCCCCCCCCCCCCCCCCAACATGCTATAAAAACTCCAAGGCTCAGCGAGGGGGAACTTGGGGTTTTGGGCTATAGCCACTGGTGGGGGCGAGGATGAGGACTTGGGGCTTTAGCCCTGTGGGGCACCGTGGCTCCAGGCTTTGGCTGTTGGGGTGGGAGGGGTAGGCTTGGGCATAGGTATAGTTTGACTTCTCATGGGGGGGGGGGGGGCATGGCCTGGCAGGGCTTGGGCCAGGTCTGTATGGTGGGCCCTGGGGAGGAGGCGCCACCTCCACCCCCCGACTCACCTTGGCAGGCCACCCAGCCAGTCTGGGTTGGGGGGAGAGTGCAACCAAAAATGTATAATTCAGCTCAGAACATTTGAAAACTGCTCAGGATGCAGGTAGGGGGCATCTAGGAGTGTGTGCAGCAAAGGTTGTAGCTCAGGGAGCAGGTAGCCAGGGGCTTTGTGTGGGCAGGGGTGTAACTCAGGGTACAGGGAGGGGGTAGCTAGGAGCTGTGTGCAGTGAGGAGTATAGCTCAGGGTGCAGGGGGGATAGCTACAGGCTGTGTGCAGTGAGGTGTAACTCTGGGTACAGGGAGAGTGGGAGCTAGGGGCTGTGTGCGGGCAGGGGTGTAGCTCAGGGTGCAGGGACGGGGTAGTTAGGAGCTGTGTGCAGTGAGGGGTGTCGCTCAGGGTACAGGGGGGTTAGCTAGGGGCTTTATCTGTGCAGTGAGGTGTAACTCAGGGTGCAGGGAGGGGGTAGCTAGGAGCTGTGTGTGGGCAGGGGTGTAACTCAGGGTGCAGGGAGGGGGTAGTTAGGGGATGTGTGCAGGCAGCGGTGTAGCTCAGGGTACAGGGATGGGGTAGCTAGGAGCTGTGTGCAGTGAGGGGTGTAGCTCAGGGTGCAGGGGGGTTAGCTAGGGGCTTTGTGTGTGCAGTGAGGTGTAACTCAGGATGCAGGGAGAGGGGTAGCTAGGGGCTTTGTGTGGGCAGGAGTGTAGCTCAGGGTGCAGGGAGGGGATAGCTAGGGGCTGTGTGCTGGGAGGGCTCCCCTCCTGTGGTCGCTGCTCCCCGAGGGCTCTGCTGGCCCCAGAGCTGGGTTCATCCACCGGGGCAGGTCTTACTGGCTGCGCAAGCAGTCAAAGTGGGCTGGGAGCTGAGGAGCAGCTGCAGCCCCAGGCACCAGCAACAGCAGAAAGAGGAGGTGGGAGAGTGGCAGAGTTTTCCACTGCATGGGACCAGCCAGAGAAGCAACCGCCTCTGACCTGGCCAGGGGGCGGAGCCTTGAATGGGGGGAGAAGTAGTGTGGGGGAGTATGGAGCTGCCCATGGGACTACCTCGCTCTGGCACTTCAGTTTGGGTGGGGCAACGCCTCATATGCTGCCCCAACTCCGCCCATGGACTTGGGGCTTGCGGATCCCCCTGAAACCAGGCTGTGGATCCCTCAGTTGAGAACTGCTGATATAAATCACTAGACTCCGAACAGCTAAGTACAAATCTGATTACTCATATGATTAAAGTAATGAATGCACTTAATTCCTTGCAGGATGAGGCTCAGTTCTGCACAGACTAATTACATTTAAAAAAAACCCAAAACTACTTAAAAGAATATTTAAGTTGAAAGTCAAATGCTCAAAAGTTATGAAATGCCATAAGTAAGGTTGCCTGTGCAACCTTAATTTGGTGTTTTTATGCATATGTATTATGCTACAGTCTTTAATTACATGATCACATACTATTTTTTTTGCTTTGGAGCCCAGCCTCCTTCAGTGAATGGCTAGTTAATCAATATTTCTTTTTTATCCTTCTCATTCAATGTCTGTCCCCAAGAGTACAGTATTTTCGTTTTTACATCACTTTATATATTCAAGCATAGCTCTAATTGACTTCAGTTGCTGCTGTGAGTGCCCAGAGCTTCTGCAAATCTGGCCACAGGTGTCTCACATTGGGCACCCAGAAAATGAGGAATACACAATTACTGAACACCTGTGTAAAGTTTGATGGACGTGACTTATGCAGCATTATATAGGAACTCTGTTGCAGGCAGGGTTAGAATGCAGTTTTCCAGGATGTTCAGCTTCTTTAAGCACAAGACCATTATTTCTTTTCCTGTAATTCCCTGCCTCATTAACTACACACCTTCCAAGTTCTGGAACAAATGTGGAAGGCAACATACTGTAGGGCCTAAGTCGTTCAAAGGCCTTGCTCTGGCCTTCTAGGCAGCGGTGAATTTCACTCTGAAATATTCATTACAGTGTAAACAATGTTTGAAAATGTTATGCCTGGTTTTTTGAGCATCAGACAAAAATTATGTAGGTTAAACAAGGAATGATCATTGAATGGGGGAGGGAAAAAAGGATAGTATTCTGTGTATCATGAATTCAAAAGAAAAAAATAATATAATGTATATTTTTAATAGATGTTTATAACTGGCTATGCGGTAACAGCTGGAGCTGCAGAAAGACTTGTATTTGGGTATGACAGCTATGGGAATATATGTGGTAGGAAGAACACTTATATTCAAGGTGCACCTCTTTCTGGACAGGATATGACAAATAAAAAGTAAGTATATCAGATTTTTAAATGAATTGAAGACTTGAGATTTGGTCACTTCAGTGCATATAGGCACTAAAATGCATATAGGCACTTTACTAAGAGATACAAATAAGAGAGTGCAAGAATACTAAACAGTAGCAATTCCTGATCCTGCCTTTGGATTCACGTACCCCAGGAAACTCCACCAAGACGTAATGGTCTGCCCACGTGGGTTGATTGCATGTTTGGGGCCTGTAATCTTATTTAAGATGAGGCAAAAATATAGTGTAAAATGTAGCATGTGCTAGAATCACTTTTTAACTTTTAGCTTCAAAATCCAGGTGTTCCAATTTTGTGTGGAAGAACACATTACCAATTGTCATGTTTTGCACTGTTTTTAAAGATAGTGAGCAGGTTCAAAATGATATGAAAAATAGAAAGCTTGCCTTAAACAATAATTCTCTCCCTCCTTCCTAGACATGTGTTCTTTTTGAATTCGTGCAGTCTGGAAATTAAAAACCTTAAAATCAATTCAATCGCCTTGTGTGTATCTAGCTGTCCTCAAGAGCAACTTAACTCTCTGGAAGACATCCAGCATTTTGCAAAGAACAATGGTATGTAGTAAAGAGTATGAATTCCTTAATCTGTGTCTGGAAGAGTTATGCAGTTTTTAATCCTAGAAAATGTACTCCTGTTTGAAATATGTTGCATTGGATATTTACTACTTTATCATTAATTTATTTGATTAAGTCAATGGAAAGCATGTTCTAATTCATGCTTATTTAAATGTTTTAGTTATCAGAAATTTTATGGATCTCTTGTGTGTATAAAACTGTTGTATGCATTTCTGCACAGGACTGGATTGTTCAGCAGAAAGGTGGCTATTGAGGACAAACTAGTTCAGATTGGAGAGGGAGTTAGTGAACGGATGCCGTTTGTATGCTTGAGAAATCTGCATTGACTTTGAATTGGATCCTTCAAATTCAATTAAAACTATAGCAAAACACTATTATTCCATTGACGTATCAGATCTGTGAGCCCTTTATATGTAATGAGTTTTGTTTTCAGAGCCAAAGTGGAATCATTTTGATTTTATTCTGATACTCTAAATAAGCATAGACAAGTAGCTATTGTGCAAAAGCAGTTACTTCTTTTGCATTGCTTTCTAACATTTAAATATAGTAAGCTAAAATTGATCCCTACCTCAGCGGTACATTACACAGCTTAGACTCCATACTCAAGATACCAGAGAATTGAGACCAAAAATTACCTAGCTTCTACCCAGTGTTATCCATGTATAGAATACAAAGCTGAATGTGGAAGTCTGATATGCTCCTTGGAGAACCCCAGTAGGCACAATTAGGAAACCATTTATATACTTATCCAGAGCATTTTGTAAAAAAGCCCAGTGTTTGAGTTCTCTGGGCACAAGGCAGGGAAGTTCTGATTCTAAATCTGGTTCTTTTTCTTCTTCAAACAATAAACTACATAAACCTGGCCAACACTGCTTGCTGAATAGAGTGTTTGGCATTTGGCAGGCAATGACTAGCGCTCTGAGAATTGTTCTCTTTGATTTTCTTAGATTGGATGGCAAGAATACCTATTTACAATGACTTTTTTTATGTAATTTTGAGATATTTGATTATTATTTGATGCTTTTTTTATGTACTTAAAGACCTGCATACCCCAGTGATGCTCCTTAAATAATCTCAGCATAACTGAATTACAATACATGAAACTCCATCCACATTTAAAGAATTTGCATATCTGTCTTTAGAGAGCTGGCAATATTGCATTTTAATTGGTTTGAGTACATCCAAGCATTGCTTTTTCACTAGCATTATGGTAATGTAGTGTTTTACCAGCAGAGGGCCTGAAGATACTGGACTAAAGTTCTTAGGTCTGAGGCTGGCCGATATTTTATTCCATTCTAAATCATTAAGGGCCCAATAGTGCTTCAGTGTACATTAATAAGGTCTTTGCCATTATCTTAGTGGGAGCAAACAAGACTCTAAATACCTAAATATGGGGGTATTTGTGTGCCTCCAGTCTGGAGGATTGGTGATAGATGATGACAATGAAATGCAGAAGATAAGGCAGAAATAAAGCTGTGCTCGTTTCTCTTAATAAATTCACATAGCTTTGGAATCTAAATTTTAAAGATTCGGTATTAATGAAAATGAGAATTGGAGCTAAATTCAGAGGTGACTCTAGAGCAGGGGTCTCAAACTCAAATGACCACGAGGGCCGCATGAGGACTAGTGCATTGGCCCGAGGGCCGCATCACTGACACCCACCCCTTGCTGCCCCTGGCCCCGCCCCCACTCCACCCCTTCCATGAGGCCCTGCCCCTGCCCCACCTCTTCCCTGCCCCTATTCCAACCCCTTCCCCGAAGTCCTCACCCCAACTCTGCCCCCTCTCTGCCCCCAGGCGGTGCAGGAGGGGTGCGGGGTGTGATGGGGGCTCAGGGCAGGGAGTTAAGGTGCAGGAGGTGTGCAGCAGGGGGCTCAGGGCAGGGAATTGGGGTGCAGGAGGGGTGTGGGGTGCGGCAGGGGGTCGGGGTGCAGGATGCGGCGGGGGCTCAGGGCAGGGAGTTGGGGTGCGGGAGGGTGTGGGATGTGGCAGGGGGCTCTGGACAGGGGGTTGGGGTGTGGGGTGCGGGCTCCGGCCTTACCTAGAGCGACTCCAGGGTGGCAGCACCTCACTGAAGAGAGAGGCTCAGAACTAGGGCAGAAGGGCAGGGGAAGGGCAGCCGGCCCTGGCCCTAGTGCAGAGGGACACTAGGACCTGCCGGCAGCCTGCAGAGCAGAGCGGATTCAAAGTGTGCTGCAGGCTCCAGCCTCCGGGGCAGTGAGGAGGCAGCAAGTGGGTGCCGGGAGACACTCCGGGGGGGCGCGTGGGGGTGGCAGGTGCCCTGAACATTGGGGAGCAGCGCACGGGGAGCTTAACAGGCACAGAAAATAACTCGGGGGGGCGGGGGTGAGGGGAGTTTGGCGGCGACAGGAAGTAACGGGGGGGGGGGGGGCGTGGGGAGCTCCACGGGCCGCAGGGAAGAGCTCCACGGGCCGTGTGTTTGAGACCCCTGCTCTAGAGGGAGCTGAAGTTGGTGTACTGTAATTCCACCATCTTCCCAATCCTCCAACGTGTATATTGCTCCAACTTAAATTCTCCGTAGGCTCCCTTAGACTTACATGTAATAATGTATAATTTACATTCCCACTTGGGAAAGATTGAAGAGCTTACAGTGTAAAGCTCATAAAGATGCAAATTGAAGAGCAACAAAAGGCTTCCTCTAGCATTGCAACAACGACTACAACAAAAAGACTGGGAGCTAGGACAAATACTTGCTTCACCACATTTGTGATCAGAAATGAGTCTGTTTAGATCACCATCAACGCTAACTAAGGCTATGTTTTAGTCACGGGTATTTTGAGTAAAAATCATGGACAGGTCATGGGCAGTAAACAAAAATTCATGGCCAGTGACCTATCCATGACTTGTACTATATACCCCTGACTAAATGGGGGGGGGCGCAGGGGGTGCCGTGGGGGGGAGGAGGGCAACCCGGGGGGACACCACGGATGCTTGGGGGAGGCAGCCCAGGACCCCCGCTAGTGTTGGGGGGAGGGGTTGGTAGGGCTGGCAGGCTCCCTACCCAACTCCTCACGGGCTCTCCGAAAGTGACGACATGTCCCTCCCTCCCTCTCAGTTCTGCACGCTGCCCCCGCCCCAAGCGCTGGCTCCACAGCTCCCATTGGCCGGGAACCTCACGCGGAGCTGGCCGAACCCTCCTCCCCCTGCGCAGAGCTGGCCGAACCCCCTCTCCCTTACTCCTCCCACCCTGCGTGGAGCTGGCTGAACCCCCTCTCCCTTCCCCCAACCCTCCCCGCACAGAGCTGGCCTGAGCCCTCTTTCCCTTCCTCCCCCACCCCCTGCGTGGAACTGGCCAAACCCCCTTCCCAGGGGAGGGGCGGGGCAGCTGTCCCAACCCTGGCTGCTGCTCCGGTGGGCTGGGGGCCAGTGCTCCAGCAAGTCCAGGCCAGTCAGCTGTTGGGTGGCCCCAGGAGCTGACCGCCAGCTGGCTGTTCCCGGAGCTGCTGTTCTGGGACTGGCTGGTGCTCCAGCAGCCCCAGAGCTTACCGCGGCTGCTGTTCCTTTGTCCCCAGGGCTGGCCACTGGCCAGCTGTTCTGGGGTCTGCTGCTCCGGCCCTGCCCCAGAAGAAGTCATGGAGGTCCTGGAAAGTCATGGAGTTCATGATCTTTATGACCTCCGTGACAGAATTGTATCCTTAGTTGTGATATATTCCCCAAAATTGGCATGTAATATATCATCATTAATATTCCTGTGTAACTTATGTGTGGGGTGTGTACAAAGAGTTATAAATATGCACTAGAAATATGTTCTTAAAATGTGTTTGGCAAGCAATACATAAGCACAGTCTGCCTTAGACAAAAGACTGTGTCATTTCCTTATCTGACCAGCCTGGTCGTCAGGCAGACGGTGAAGGTACATTTACATGCAAGGTAAAAAAAAGGTGTCAAATTAGCAAGTGGGGGAGGTAGCCTCTTAACAATAAAGACAGGGGTTCTGAACCTCAAATGATAAGCAATTGAATCAACTGATTGTGTACAATATTACTATATTCTAAAATTGTATCGAATAAGGTTTTTTTATGAAAGCCAGTGACACTCTGGTGATTAATATCATTGTGAAATGTATGTATTAACACCCTAGGAGGAATCATGGATACTCACTGATATTATGCTTTAAAGTCTGTGATCAAACACAGGGAGAAACAGGTTTTCTTCCAGACGGGAGGAAAGGCAGCTATCTACCTGTCTCCAATGTAAATTAAGCAGTGTGGAGTCAAAACAATGGAAGCCCCATTTAAATACAAATTAACATGAGGATAGAAAATCCAGAAGAAGGGAAGAACAGCAGGAAGCCTTCTAGGCTCTTGAGGCAGACACAGTGAACTTTGTGGTGATATAAGGAGGGCAAAAAGATACGTGAGTTGTCCATCACTTTGGGGACTCAAGGGGCGAGAGCTGGATCCTTCAGCCAAAGGGGTTGAAGTCTCTGGGAACTGAGTTTGGTGAGAAACCTGCTTAGGCAAAGATTGTAACTTGCTTGTAAGACTAAAACAGTTCTCAGCATATTTTTACTTTTGTTTGTTTGTAGCCTTTTATGTCTTTATTCCTTATACTGGATATCACTTATCCTATACCTTTTTTAAAATAAACTTGTTTTATTTTTACTATAAACCAATTGAGGGCTGTGACTGAAATTAGTGTGTTTGTCAAACCCCAATTAAATTAGTGAGCTGCATTTTCTCTTTGAAGGAGCAAAGAACTTATTAAGTTCTGTGAGTGTTCCAGGAGAGGGCTGCATGCTGCAGGGAGACATCTCTGGGGAACTTGGGAGTTGGGGTTCACTGTTTGTTATTTGTAGGGCAAGGTTTGGGCTGGCAGAGCCCTGAAGAGTTTGCTGCCAAGGCACACAAGCTGGTGTGTCAGGGAGTTGTCATACTGCTTAGCAGCAGCAAAATTCTCACTTGCTGAGTCAGAGAGGGTAAATCAGTTCTGGGCCCTCAGGAGATTGGCAGATGATTTTGGGGAAATTCAGGACAGGGAAGGTATTAAGGTTATTCTACAAATAGTAACTGGGCGGTGGAAGCCAGGGTCTGACCTGCATGCTTGTGTGCAGGCTGTTGGTGTCAAGGCTGTGAACCACAGAAGCATAGTTTTGAAAGCACCCAGAGGTGCAGGTGGTGACACAACCCCTTACTGGTCTGAGTTGAACTCCAAAATGTCACACCCTCATCAGAGTTAATCATTGTCAGTGTGTAAGACCTGATCGGTGAAGCGTAACATTCACCTCTTGGGGCAGTCAGAGTTCCCAGTCCGTTGTTCATACTGACGGATAGGTTGCCCAAACAAGAGACACAATTCCTTCTGATTGCAAAGCCAACTCCTGTGTTGTGGGGCTCATTTTGTGGATGTCCCCTCCAGAAGAAAGTATACCTAGCATGCTCCTCAGCCAGTTGACCCTCTTCAGCAAGTCACATCTCTCTCAGAGCTGCAATGTGGATACAATATCTTTCAAGATCTTGAGCAACTGAAGCAGTCCACCGGGCAGGACCATTAGTTTGGTTTGCACAGTTAAGGGGTGTACGAACAGTCCACCTTGCAACATTGAAAGAAAGGAAACTTTTCAAGGCTTGTTTGAATTTTGACTGCGTGATGGGATGCCCTCTGGCTTCAGTGGGCCGTTCACGATGAGCAATTTTCAGGAGAACTTTTCTAGCACCCTCCTTTGATTGAGGTCAGCTGTGCTATTCCTGATTAGAGCAGCTGAGTCAATCAAGATGCTGCTGGACTATAGTATCACCCCAAGTCAACGCAGAGTCTTGACCTGCCCACGTGCAGGTTCACAACTATGACTCCCAGCGATGTCCATCACCTCTCACTTTCACCATTCCCCTATCACTCTGGGACTTATTAAACTGTCAAAGGCTGTGCCAGAAATTGTGCAAGGTGGAGGAGCATTTGCATACCAACTCACATACTCTCTCGATCAACAAGACCATTTCCAGTGGCAAAGTAAATCGAGACAACTGAAGGACTTGCTAGTTGCATGTTTATTTTCAGAGTGTCCTTCTCTTAAATCAGTTGCCCAATTTCCCAGGCTAACAAGCTTGATCTGCCCAGCAAATGGGTATAAGTAAGTCTAATTTACACCAGGTTACACATAATCTCTGAATTTGGCCCTAAGGGGAGGCTTCTCGAGGTATGAGAAATCATCTGAGTTTAGAGAAATTTGGATTTTTCCAGTGTTTCTGTTAGTTGTCCTTGCATCTCCTAAAAGAAGTTACAACATTGTAGTGATAAAAGTAGGAAAAACTGAAAACATTACTCTCTCTAGAGAACGGATAGGGGTTTGATCTTGATTCATGAAAGTGTTATCTGGACTGTTTAAGATTTTAATCTGTCTCCTAAACAGACCAATGTTTAACATCATGGGTTTTTTTTTTTTAAATTTAAATACAGAATTATTGAGGAAAAACACTAGTTTTGCTAATTAATATTTATTATGCTGCACAAAATCTTCAAAACAACAATTGATTTGAGCAGCCATGCAATTAAGTGCTATTTATAGAGATTTTTAGTATTTTTAAGAAGTGTGTTTTCTGCCCAGAAATGGATGTGAACTAATAACAAGTTACCATTTGTGGGGTTTTTATTCTCTTAGGTTCTTGCCTTTGTATTTATAACTTGAACATTTCCAGTTACACGCTAAATCCAAAGGCGGCTGAGCTGTGTCCCACACTGCCAGTTCCACCAAGGTAAGAATTACTGTGTGCTTTACTGCACTGTTTATTCGAGACAACTTTTCAAAGACTGTCCTTCCCATTTCGTCTTTGACTTGATGCATAACAATCAGAATTATTTTACTTTAATATCTTTGATTTTATATTTTTGAATTCTCATGTTTACACACACACACACACACACACACACACACACACACACACACACACACA